AATCCTGGCTGCCCATCAGGGGGAAGAATCCTTTCGGAGAGCCGTGTGGGAGGAGAATCTGAGGATGATCCAGGACCACAACAGCCAGGCTGAGCAGGGAAAACACACCTACAAACTCGGGATGAATCACTTTGGTGACCTGGTACGTGTGGATCAAGGCTAGTTTGATTTATTCAATGGACATAGATGTCGGTTTGCTCAGTTTCTATAGTTGTTTCATTCCTTCACTCCCGCCATCTCAGTCAATGACTCTGGGCAATTCATGAATTCAATTAATTGATTATATCCTCCCTTTATCTCTTTTTCTGCAAATCATTCAAGGTGGTGAACATTCCCAAGATAAATTTCTCCTCCCATTTTCCCAACAACAACCCTGTGGGGTGGGTGGGGCTGAAGGAGACGGGCTGGCCCAAAGTCACCCAGCCGGTTTTCATGCCTAAGGCGGGACTAGAACTCACCGTCTCCTGGTGATTGGCCCAAGGTCACCCAGTTGGCTTTCATAGCTAAGGCGGGATTAGAACTGACAGTTTTCTTCTTTCTGGCCTGGCGCCTTAACCACTAGACCAGGCTGCCTCCAGCCACTGAGGGTTGAGCTTCATGTCCTTTGCAACCCTCAGACCCATGAAGAGATTAACCAGAGGCTGAAATGTCTCCTTCCTGACTCGGATCGGGCAGCTCTCAAGAACGCCGTCCCCTTCAAGCCCTCCGAAGACCTGCAGGTTCCCCCCGGGCTGGACTGGCGAGCCAAAGGGGCCGTGACTGAGGTCAAAGATCAGGTGGGGGCTGAAGGGCCTGGGGGGGTTGGGGGCTCTGACCAGCCAAGAATGGAGGAGGGAGGCAGAGGGGCTTTTAAGGAAAAGGAGGGGAGGGGTACGATCTGCCCATTTGCAATTCAGGTCGGAATTTAGTGGATTTGTGAAATCCTGCAGACGAAGCTAAATTCTTTCCTCCGTTAACTGAATTTCTGAAGCTTCAGTTTTGTCAAAACTCCCGTATATCAAAAGAGAACAAACCCCACATTCCCTTCTAGCACTGATGGTGTTACCTAGTTGGGTAATGAGATGCTTGCAAGAAAACCACCAAGCTCAGAGAGTACAAAAGATGCCGTGGTCATCACCCTCCTCCTCCTCCTCCTCCTCCTCCTCCTCCTCCTCCTCCT